ACCCACCCTGTTTTCAAGGAGCCGTCGGAGAGCCTGAGCAGAGCCCAATTAGGTGAGGTCCCGCTTGGGGCTTGCTCTAGAGACCCTGGCAGTAGCCCGCTGATCGGCTTCGGGGACGGTTCTGGAGGACGCTTTTCGCCCGACCCTCGTCGCCGTCGGTGTGGCTCCGCCGTCGTTGTGGTCAGGGACGCGCGACCTGGGGAAGGACCTCTGCGTTGGGCCGTCTTGGGGGGGCATCTCTGAGATTTTGCGAGGCCCTTCGCAAACTGTGCCCAGGTCGGAGCTGCAGGCTTTCGCTCTCTTCTTGGAAGGCACCTCAGGTCCCGTCCATTTTGTGACCGACCACAAGCCACTTATGACGGGTTGGAGTCGGGGTCGGCCCTGGAGCCTGGGAGGGAGGAACAGCGATTTGTGGCTGCGAATTCGATGCGCCATCGATGACCGAGGCCCTGGGCACGTTTCGGTCAAATGGACGCCCTCGCACCTCTCTCCTGACGACCCCTCCCTCACCTATCACGAAGTTGTTCTAGCCAGCGGTAACCAGTTAGCTGACGAAGCGGCATCCGAGGCCGCCGAGCGTTCCTGGACCCTGGCCGCCCAGTCTGCTCCTGCCACCGACGCTTGGGACCTCACCGCTGCCTTGGTGCGTCGACGAGCACGGCGGGCTCTGGCGGAAGCTTCTTCGGCGGATCCCAAGCGGTCCAAGGCTTCGACGGATGTCGATCGCCCGATCCCGAAGACCGCCGAGACCCGCCGCCTCGAGCACGCAGCGAGGGCCAGCGCGCATAGGTTTATTCCTGTTGGGTCCCGTTTCAGGTGCCAACGGTGCTCTGTTCTTTCGTCCCGACAGGGCCTCTTAGAGGCCCTGAAGACGGAGTGCTTTTCGCCGCAGGCCGTCCCTCCTGGTTTTCCTCGGGATGTTGTGGCCGCGGCTCGTGGCGGCGTTTCCGTCGGTGGGCAGGAGCTCGACCCATCCCACCGTCTGGGATTCTGGGACTTGCATTCCTTGCATTTTTGCTTCCGATGCGGTCGGACCGCGACCGTTGACGGTCGCCAATTGGCCGACGAGTGCGAGCCCCCCACTCGTAAAGGTCGCGAGAATCTCGGCCGAATTAAACGCGGGCTGTTTCCGAGCTATGCGGGGCCTTCGAAGGCTTCGCGAGCGATTTCGCATGCGAGAATTGTGGACGCATGCGTCGCCAGGGAGACAGCACAGCGTGCCAGGAGGGCAAGCCCTGTACCCTCCCACGTTCCTTCCTCCCCTTGTGGGGAGGAGGAGGCGCTGGGGGTGGCTGCTACGGAGTAGCCACCACGGGTGCAGGTGCTTGGCCTCCTTTCCTCTGTTTTCCCTTCCCCTTTTTAGCACGCTGTGCTGCGCAAAAGGTCCAAAAGGTCCTTCTCAGAAGGGCCCTCCTCCTCTTCCCTCCTCCTCCCCTCGGCCCCTTCTCTTCCCCGCGCCCGACCCTCGTAGAGGGGGGGCACGTGCCGAGGCGTCTGGCGCATCGAACAAGGTCGAGGCGGCCGGTTTTTCGAATTTTTGGGAGCCCTTGTCATTCTCCGCTCGGTCTGCCCGGGCGCCGTTCTCCGGGTGAGGCAAAGGCCTCGGCCCAGGGTGCGGGTCAGCAGACCGCTCTGTCGGTCTGTCTGTCCTTGTCGGCGCCAAAATCCGAACCCTTCCCTCGCCTGTCAACGATCCAGGCAGCTCGATGGACAGCGCGGGTAGGAGTCGGAATTCATCGAGCACGCTGCGAAATCCGAGCCCTACCCCCGCCTCCCATCGATTCAGGAGAACCGATGGTTTAGGCCGGTCAGGGTTCGGATGTCGCCACCTTTCTTAGGATACAGGAGACTAGGACCGTCAGACATTCATTCCCCTGCAATAGATTCTCTCGGGGAATGTCCAGGCCTGAAGGGGGTCCTACGCACAGAAAAAGCCGATGCGCCTGATGTCTGGGCAACGGGGGGCCGCGCAAACAGTGGCCAGCCAGTCCCTTCCGATCGCCCTGGCTGATCCTGGCTTGGGGGGAGTATTTGGCGGCCAGCCCAGGTTGGCGATGTGGTCTTGCTCGACCCAGGTTAGCGCTGTCCGGGGCCAACCCGTCCCCGACCTCCCAGACAACGGCAGGAAGAAGACAAGAATTGGGCAAGATAAATCAGAAGTCTCAGTGAGCCAGAGGGTCTAGAGGAGGTATCGGGTGCCACGGCCGTTCCAAAGCATTACGGAGCATTATGTGAACTGCCCGAGACGCTCTGCAACGATGTATTATTTACGCTTCGCGAATTCCCGCCAGCCCATTCAGAAACCCTGCCCACGAGAGCTGACGGGAAATGGAAAGCAGAGACGCACATAGTGAAACAGAACGGTCAAAGAGAGGAGGGGGAGGGGAGGAACGTGTTGAGCCATGTTTGAGGCTAATTTAGAGCATCAGAGGCTTTCTTCAGTGGGGGACGGCGAAGAGGCATGAGACGCCCCGCGAGAGGTGACAACTGCGAGGGAGGAGGTCCTGGAGCGACTTCGGAGACGAGGGATCCCGAAGGAAAGAGGTCACGGGTGTGTTTTTGCTGTGTTCGGTTCCCAGGGTTCTTCCGTGGGCCCCAGGAAAACGGTTCAGGATGAAGAGCCGATTTTGCGCAAAGCTCTGGCGTCCAGGACACGTCTCTGTCATGACCCTTCGGCACGTGGCGGCCCGTTTTTCGTTTGTCCTCACTTCGAGCTTGCATGTTTGCACGCTTTTGCATGCAGATGTGCCTGAGTACTCGTGCTTGCACGCACGCGAGCTTGCGCTTGCGCGATTGCTTGCACTCTCGCGGGCTTCAGTGCGACCTGCTTAGACACCACGTGCATGATCGCATGCACTCCTCCATCCTTCCTTGAAAATCTACGCTGTTGGTTTTCCTTGTGGGCCATTACAGTCGGTGCGCTGAAGAAGGAACCCTTTTCCTTAATTGTTTCACAGCTTGCCTCAGGGTTTTTCCTTATGTTTTCGATGGGAAATCGAAGTTTAACTTATGGAAAAAAGGGGCCTCGTTCCTTATTTAGGGTTCCTTAGGTCAACGCCCCGACTGTATGTGACCGGCCTGCGGGGCCATCTTGGGACCCTCTTGCGGTCTTCTTGGTACTCTGGCAGGCTCCTGGCCCGGAGCGACCTCGTTCTGTGCGGATTGGGCCGCAGCCCCAGGCCATTCGCACCATCGGGCCACCGTGCCCTGCAGGTTGGCGACTCCAGGAAACTGGGCCCACGGACGGGGTCAAGGCGCCCCAAAGCCATACTACATCAAGATTCTCCATTTCTCCCTCCTGTTCCTGCCTCTTCATTTCTCCTCCCCCTTCATCCTCCCTCCTCGTCACACTGCTCCTCCATGCCTCGTCCCCTTCCTGCCATCCCTTCCTACTGCTTCTGCCTCCTCGCTCTCTTGCGCCCGCCTCCCACAACCTCCCTCCCTCCCTCCTCCCTTCCCATCTCATCCCCCACATCTCTCCTCGGTCCCCTTCCATCCCGCTGCAATCTCCACGCCAGTCCCCTCCTCCCCACCCCGTCCCCCCAGCCCGTGTGCTTGGCCCATCTCCTCGCACTCCTTCGAACGGGGCTAGGGCGAGTATAAATCCGTTCCAGAGCGAACGCTCTCAGAGCGTTCCAGAACGCTCTGAGAAGGCCGCGACGCCCGAGACATCCTCCAGAGCCGCCAGATCTCCGAGATCCCCGGTTTATCCTCACCCGATTTGATCCTCGTCCTGGCTTCGTCTTCCTCCTCTCTCCTGTCGCTCTCATCCCATCCCCGCACCTCCTGCCCCCGCACGGCCTCGCCCCCCTCCCGCGCCCCCCTCCTTCCCGCGCACCACCCGCCCTATCGGCGCCGGGCGCCCTCTCTCGCACCTCCCGGCCGCCGCCGCCCCTGCAGAATACGAGGAAGGAAGTGAGGAAGAAAGTGCGGATTCTTCTCCGAATATCAAGTCAGAGGAGGAAAAGGTACCCACACCGCTACCTTTCCCCCGTCTTCCCCTTTTGGGGGTCCTTGGGAGGCCCCCGTCGCCACCGCTGGATTCGTCTCGAAATTTTGGTCAGGACGCGCCCCGGGAGAAGTCCAGGGAGTAGCGGTATCAGTACCTGGACCTTTTGGTTTCTTTGGCAATGGCGTAATACACGCCTCTACCCTGGTTTGCGAGGAGTTGTGTGCTGAATCTCCTGTGGGCTGACGGGGTAGACCCTGCGCGTCGCGCGTGTCGCGCGGCGTCCTGGCGGCTCTCTGGCCTCTGGGAGCTCCCTGGAGGTTTACAGACCCCCAGGGCAGGGGCGCTTCTTCATCCCTCGAGAATATGTGTTCCAAGATGTATGTCGCCCCATTCGAGTGTGAGCCGGCCTCCCGGCGCAGGCACGAGCTTGAAGCTCACAGCATCGTTTGATCCAGTTCTCCCGTGTCTTCTCTCCCGTTCCCCACTTTCTCGTATCGTGCGCTTGGGGCGCAAGGCGCCCCCCGCCCGCCGCGCTCCACTCGCGCGAAGCCACGCGTCGGGCACCAGAGGTGCACGCCAGACCGACCTCGTGGCGTCGTGGCTTCCTCACGGCGTGGGCGCCGAGGCCCAGGCTACTGCCGGCTCGAAGAGATCGCGCCGAGCTCGCGGCTCCCTTGCGCGAGCGCAAGGCAGGGCGGCCCAAGGGCGCCGTTTGAAACGGCGAAGGGGTGAAGCATCACGACCGATTCGGGAGAGTTCGCAGGATCATCGCCACCATCGCTATCATCGTTGTCGCAATCGTCACCATAATTTGAACCTTGCCACCATCATTGTCATCATCGTCGTCATCGTCCGTGGTCCTTGTCATCACCATCAGCATCATCACCAGCATCGTCGTGTCCTCGTCCTCCCCGTGCTCGTCCCTGTCCCCCTCCTCGTCCCCCTCCCCGTCCCCCGCCCCCTCCTCCCCGTCCTCCCCCCAGTCCCCGACTCCCCGCGTCCTCCCCCGCCCCCCCCCCCCACCCCACCCCACGGCAACGGGCCCGAGGTGCTCGTGCTCCTCCTGACCGTCGGCCTCAGCATGTCGCAGGTGATGCTCGCCACGAGCTCGCAGCGGTGAGCCCCGGGCCCGGCTCGCGCGCCGCCGCCGAAGCGGCGCGCCGCCGCCGCCGCCTGTCCAGGACCCCCGTCTTCGGGGGCTGCTGGGGGGGCTCCTGGCCCACGGTGCCCCCAGCTTCTCGCCCCTCTTGTTCTCGCCCCTCTTGGGGCCCCTGGGGCCCCCTTCTGGGCCTCGCGGGGGGGTGCTCGAGGGGGCCGCGGGGGGCCTCCTCTTGCAGCCCTGGGTTGCACTGGGGGCCCGGGGCCCTCCCTTCCCCCCCTCCGCGCCGGCAGGGGCCTGGGGCTCGCCCCATCTTTTCGACTAGACGTAAGAGTGACCCTTCGCCGGAGTGACCTCTGGTGCGGGCTCATCGGGGTCCCCCCGATCGCGGAACGCGATGCGATGGTGGCGCCTTCCGCGCTTATGCTTCGTCCCCCCGCGGCGCGCAAAAAGCCGCGCACCAAAGGTCACTCTTATCTGGTCACTCTTGCGTGTAGCCGATCTTTCTTCGACCGACTCCCTGCAGCCCACTGCTGGCCGCCAAGTCGGCCTCGCCCGAGCCTCTTTTTTTCTCCGCTGCTTCGTTGGGCGCCGCGCCCGTCGCGTGCCCAAGCCCGGGGCGGCCAGAGCCACGGGGGCAGCGAGATCCCCCCCCCCACTCCCCAGGGAGGAGGGGAGGGAGGGAGGGAAGAGGTGGAGGGGAGCGGCGGAGTGGGGGGGGGGAGAGGGAGGGAGGAGAGGAGGGACGGGGGGGAAGTCCCGCTGCCGCCGCGGCGCTGGCCGCCCCTGGCGCAACGCCGGGACCTGGAAGTTCACACGCGCTTGCGCGCGCTCTGCGGACGGACGTATGCCTCACTCTGCGGGGTGCGCGCTAGCGACGAGGACGGCATCGACGAGGACCAGGATAGCGAGGAAGGCGATACGAGCACGACGACGACGACGACGACGACGACGACGACGACCAGTATGCCGAATACGACGGCAGCGAGGGAGACGATAGGGACGATGAGAGAGGGGGGGAGGATGGACAGGACGAGCAAAGGACGGAGGAGAAAGAGGGAAGAGGAGGAAAGGAAGGAAAGAGAACAAGGAAAGGGGGAGAAGGAGAAGGACCAGAGCAAACCCACTGTGCATCAACGAGGCTGCAACAGACCCTCCCGTCACAAGTCCCCTCTCCAGAAGGCCCCACAGCCATTATTTTCACTTCGCAAAGCGCTTCCCCTTTGATTGACGAGCGCTCAATGGGACCGCACTTCAGTCGGTAACTCCGGTTTGACGAAATTGATTCCACCCTTCGGGTTATTAAGGAATGCGACAGGGTGAGTACATACAGTGAAAGGAAGTATTCGGCGACATCCCCGTCTTTATATATATATATTATAAAAAAAAAAAAATCAAAACAAAACGCCCTTCGCCCGTTTAAGTGTTGCACTATGCTAGGATTATGGTCGTAACATGTGACGTAGTGTCCAGCGAGAGGCCTGTTTCGAAAATGGGCCGCCCTCCATCCGTGCAATTGCTAATGTTCGAATGCGTAGGACGACTGTGCACGACGCCAAATGGAGAGCCCCAACTTGCAAACGATGTACCATCCACCCGTGTAATGGTCGAAATGTTTAGGACGAGCGTGCGCGCCTCCATTGTGAGAGCAAGTTTTTGATATCGGTTCGCCTTCCATCCGCGCAGTCGTTGGATTGTACAGACGAGTGCACGCGGCGTCAAGGCGATAGTCGCATTTAGGAAACTATTCGCATTACACCCGTGCATATGTTGGAAATTCACCGCTTCAGGATCGAAGTCGGCGAGGACGTCTCAGGCCAAACGCCCCGCCCGCCCTAACGACACGTCTGGTGGCGCGACAGGGAGGAGCTATGGATCAAGAAGGCGGGTTGACGGGAGTGGGCACGAGGAGGGAGAGGAGACAGCGGTGGAGTAGGAGGGGAAGGAGGAGGAAAGGGGAGAAAGAGGAGAAGGGAGGAAGCGTGCAGCTTTGTCGGAGGCATAAAACATGTCCGACATCCGACTCATCCTCCACCATCCTCCTACCCCCAATCCTCCTTCTCCTCCTCATCTTCCTCTTCCTGCTTCCCCTCTTCCTCCTCCTCCCCCGAGGCGGCACGTAATTGACCACGGCCACCTCAGAGTCAGTCCCTGCACCGCCACGTGGTCCTTGGGGGCGCGTCGGTTCCTAGCCGTGGTGCCCGTCGTTCGGTGCAGCGAAAGCATGCCCATCTTCTTCGCGGGCCTGGTCAATTAGTGTTGGCTGTGGGCAGGACGAGTGCAAGCGCGTGCCGTTGCATGTGTGCTGGTTGTGGGCAGGACGACTGCAAGCGCAAAGCACTGCCACCGTGCCATGATATCGCACACGCTAAAAAACCCCAAACCGCGAGGGAACATGGCGGTACACGTCCAGCGAAGAGGTTCGGAGAAATTCCACCGAAAGCGAGTCGTTGAGCGGGCTGCTGGCCAAGGCGTTGGCGTTCAGGGACGACCTGGTAGCCGCACGGTGTTTTCCGCACAGGTTGCCCGAATAGTAGCGGTTTTGGAAGCCAAGGAGCAAGAGATGCCTAAGTACCCTGCTGCCGCGGCGATGACTGGTCGGAGCGTTGCTACACTAGCGCTTGCGAAAGCCGTTGGAGGCCCTACGCCGACAGCGCCGAAATTCGGCGATCAGACGCAGCAGAAGAGCGGCATCATCGAATTGCGCGGGGACTCCGATATTTTCAAAGGGTTGAAGCAGCTCGCGGGGGGATACGCCCAACGGGTTCGAGGCCGAGCTGCGACCGGCGAAGGACACGCTTGAGAAAGCGCAAGAAAGAGGCGCGTGCGATTCAGCAAGCGACGAAGGAACGCATGGCGAAGAAGCGCCGCGTCGGTGCCGAGGACGCATCTGAGGCAAAGGGCGACAACGGCAACATTGGCAGGCGGAGTGCCAGCAGCGCCTGCAGCGGGTACCGCGCCAGTAGTTGCCGAGATCACCGCGGAGGCGGCTCTCATCTCGGCGGCCAAGCTGGGAGCAGCAACGGCATCCCAGGAGGTGGTGGCGCAGAATGTGCATCTCGGCGGCCAAGCTGGCAACAGCAACAGCAGCCCTTGAGGTAGTGGCGCAGAATACGGCTGCCCCAGGTGGAGCCCCGCGCCGCCTAAATGAGTCAATGCGATTTTTCGGCTGGGCGCACGGATGCTCCTACGTCTTCGAGACCAGCATCGGCCCCGCCAGCCGACGCCGCATGCCAATCTGACTCGCGCGAGTCGGTGTACATCAGCTGTGTTTTGCCCATGCTACCACTTGGGGTCAAAGAGCTCTCACGCGTGCGGACCGGATACAAGAGCATTCGCGCGTTGGGGTCGCGGAGTCACGCGCGGTCAGCTTGGCCCAGGATGAGTGGGCCAAGAAAGCACGTAAGCTCAAGCTGAAAGTATTCGACATTTGTGCTAGGTCGTCAGGGCGAGGCGCCACGGCAGCGAGCCAGACTCGAGCCAACGAGGGAGTTGAATTCGCTCTGGCGCCTGGTCACCACAACGTTCATCTGTTCACGGAACGCGCAAAGGAGACCCCGGCTGTGCGCCGACGGTTCAGACAGTTCCGCAGGAATGTCTCAAGCGGTCAGCAAAGGTTCAGCATGGCGGCCGTCATGTTTTACGGACACCGATCGGTTGGATTTGACAGCCGCAATTTGCAACATCACGCTCGTTAGGCATCATTCACGCGGTCATTCCTGCTGCCCTAGGCGGTTGCCGGCGACTCCAAGAATGGCGCGGCTGAGCATCGGCATCCACGGCTTCTTCGCAAAGTGCACGAGCACGTTGTCAATGCGCCCGCCGAGCACGCGCAAGTCGGTGGCGGCGGGGATTCACGCATCGATTTCGCGATTGCCAGTGGCACACGTCTGCCTTTTATAGTTCGCGTCGGCACAGTTCAGGACGCGCCCTGGCCATCTCGCTGCGATTCAGAGCTCGCGCTGAGGAGCGCGGGGCAACAGTAAGTAGATCGCAGCATGGCCACGGCGCCTCGCTGGCCACGGGCGCCCCCCCCAGCTTCGGCCCGCCCAGTCCTGCGCCCAAGCCAGCGCGGCTCGGCGGCAGCGCGACTCCGGCGTCAGCAGCGCGCGAGGAAACGACGCGAGACTTTCGGCGCTCTTTTGGGCGATATTCCTCAGAGCCGTCAGAGCTTTGGGAGGGGGGTGGGGGGGCGCGCAGCGGCGTCGCCGATCCCTCCGAGTTCGGCGGCCATGGCGATCCTGGAGAAGTTCCTGCCGCATCGCATTGTTTTGCCCTGGCGATCCAGGCGAGAAACATAATGTCTGGGCCGAGAATGCCAGTTTTAGACCCGCGGGGAATGTCGCGCAGTCTTCGAGCTCGCACGCGCGAGCCGACGACACCCCCGATCACGCATTCAGGGGGGGGGGTTCTCCCGAGCAGGGCCATCATTCGATGGCGTCACCGGGCGCGTCCGGGCAAAGGCGCCCCCTGCGGCCCGCCAGGATAACGTCGCCACGGGCGACGCCCCAATTCCGCCTGCCCTTGCCTCTGCCAACGCGGGCCCGGGCACTCCGCGCGGGCAGGGCGGGCCGCGCGCGCGCGACGATGTCGGACTAGCGGCGCGCGAAGAGCTGCCGCGCTGACTCGCAGAGCCCAGTCGGCCCCGCGCCCGAGAATCAGAGCTGGAAGAGGGAGCTGCACGTCGCGCTGACCACGCTCGGGATCAGCCCCTTTGCGACGCCCGCGCCCCCTAGCGGAGCCGAGCGCGCGCGGCCGCGCAGCGATCGGGGCGCCACGGGTGGTGACATAACAGCACAGCGTGGCTCCAGCATCTCAAATGGCAGGTGACGCACGGAAATTGGTTCCGGCAGTTCCCCGACGGCGTCAGTTCGTCTTCGGTTGTTGGCGCAGGTTCTTGGTCGGGCTGGCCCAGCGCTCTCGGCCGGCAGGAGCAGCGATCCGCGGTGGAGCTGGAGTCGGCCGGTACAGTTGCAGATCGGCGATCGAGGCGAGGTCGACCTCGAGCCACCAGTCAGTCA